CAGGTGAGGTTTGGGGGGTCCCAGGTGAGGTTTGGGGGGTCCCAGGTGAGGTTTGGGGGGTCCCAGGTGGGGTTTGGGGGGTCCCAGGTGGGGTTTTGGGTGTCTCAGATGTATTTTGGGTGTCTCAGGTGGATTTTGGGTGTCCCCAGGTGAGTTTTGGGTGTCTCAGGTGTATTTTGGGTGTCCCCAGGTGGATTTTGGGTGTCCCCAGGTGGGTTTTGGGTGTCTCAGGTGGATTTTGTGTGTCTCAGGTGCGTCTCTCCCCTGCCCAGGTGAGTTTTGGGCATCCCCAGGTGTATTTTGGGTGTCCCCAGGTAGATTTTGGGGTTTTTTGGGCTCCCCAGGTGGATTTTGGGTGTCTCAGGTGCATTTTGGGTGTCCCCAGGTGGGTTTTGGGTGTCTCAGATGTATTTTGGGTGTCTCAGGTGGATTTTGGGTGTCCCCAGGTGGGTTTTGGGTGTCTCAGGTGGATTTTGGGTGTCCCCAGGTAGATTTTGGGGTTTTTTGGGCTCCCCAGGTGGGTTTTGGGTGTCTCAGGTGGATTTTGGGTGTCTCAGGTGGATTTTGGGTGTCCCCAGGTATATTTTGGGTGTCTCAGGTGGATTTTGGGTGTCCCCAGGTAGATTTTGGGGTTTTTTGGGCTCCCCAGGTGGATTTTGGGTGTCTCAGGTGAGTTTTGGGCATCCCCAGGTGGGTTTTGGGTGTCTCAGGTGGATTTTGGGTGTCCCCAGGTGGATTTTGGGTGTCCCCAGGTGGGTTTTGGGTGTCTCAGGTGCGTTTCTCCCCTGCCCAGGTGGCCACGGGGCAGCCCCACGAGGGCTCGAGCTACGCCGCGCGCAAGAGCTGCCAGCTGGCGCTGAACCGGCTGGACTACGCCCGGCGGCGCCTGGCCGAGCTGGCCCGCGCCTGCGAGCTGATGCTGGAGCAGTGACGCACCTGGGGACACACCTGGGCACACCTGGGCACACCTGGGGACAGCTGGAGCGGAAAAATCCGGAAAAAAAATTGGATAAAATCGGATTTTTTGCTGATTTTTTAGCGATTTTCGGGGATTTTGGGGGGATTTTTTGGGGATTCGACAGCAGGGACATGTGGCTGGACACACCTGGGCACACCTGGGCACACCTGGGCACACCTGGGCACACCTGGAGCGGGAAAATCGGGGAAAAAATGGGATTTTTTTTGATTTTTGGGGGATTTTTTGGGACTTGACACGGTGGAAATGTGGCTGGGAAGACCTGAACACACCTGGACACACCTGGGGGCACACCTGGACACAGCTGGGAACACCTGGACACAGCTGGATGCAGCTGGGATGGAAAAATCCGGAAAAAAAAAGGGATTAAATTGGATTTTTTAGTGATTTTTTGGTGATTTTTTGAGTTTTTTAAATTTTTTTTTGGTGGATTATTTGGGGAATTTTTTTTTATTTTGGGGGGGATTTTTTGGGATTTTTTTTG